TTTTTATTGTTTTTATATTTTTCAATATATTTATTTTGTTCGTACAAAATAAAAAAATCATTTTTAACGATACAATAGTCTTCGTTAGGCGTAATATCGACGAAAATTCAACGCGAAGCGACAACAATGGAGAAAAATTTAAACAATGGGTAGGTTAATATATTTTTCATACATAGTCGGTTATCCGAAATATCGATTTTTCCGAACAACCCCAATCCCCAATTGATTCGGATAATCGACGCTCTACTGTATTCTTATAAAATACAGTAGACACCCCTATAAAACAGGTTCCTATAATTACGATTCCTATAAGACAGCGAAAAAATTGCGACAGTATCCGTAAAAAATGGTAAAAAAAACTCCTATAATTACGTAAAACGTCATCGGGCAGCCGAAGTATTTTCTGCGCCGTCAAGCGCCACGCTACAAACAGATTGCTATCATCTGTACCATATTATATATAAATTATATATAAATTAGGTACTGTACATATAATTATATATTAATTATATATAATTTAGGTATTGTATATATAATTATATATTAACTTAATTTACTGTAACTTTATTATAATTATATATATTTTTTCTGCCGCCTGGCGCTACGCTACTAAGAGTTTAGGCGAACTATCGTCTGTACAGTATGTAAATTAGGTACTGTAAGTCTAAGACAGTACTGTAATTTTATACATTTCTTGTGAAAGAAACATTTCTTATTCAACGGCCATAAAAATTATTTATATTAATGATGTCTCCAAAGTTCAACGAAGTTTTCGCAGAAAAATAACATCAGAAATCGCGGCCGCGGTTTGCTGAGCTGTTCCGCGACGAAAACAAGCTTGAGCAATGGCGATGTCGAATGGTGCACACTCGGTAAGTAATCCTACAATTTTTTGTTTATAGCGTAGTTTATATGGATTATTTCCAAAAAAAAAAATAAAATATATACGTATTTTGGAAATGTTAAGTCGGATTAGTCTAGAATCGATTAATTTTATGGAAGAAAACCTTTTGAACAGCCGTAGTCCGTAAACTTGACAAGTTCTGGGCTGTGATTGGAAGGACTCGTAAGAAATCGTATTCCTAAAGAATAGAACGTATCTACTGTCTTATAGGGGGGTCGACTGTATACCCCAAAGTCTATCGAACCTATACTACTGATGCAACCATAGTTTTCTATATGTCGATCCTATATAATAAAAATTCTTTTCTTTCTCCGTTAGCTTAATCGTATAGATCCCAAACATGTGCATTTGTCATGTTTTTCTGTCTGTTTGGAATAATGATATGATGGAAGGAAACACTTAATCAGCACAACGTATTTTATATTACTGTAGATATTAAAAATATAATCCAACTCCTTTGTTCTATACAAAATTAAATAAAAAAATATAAGTTTTGTGGAGTGTCCAGTATATATAGTGATATATTTGAGTGGATTTTGGAAACATATAAGCTATTACAATTATAAAATGATTAAAATTTTAAAAATTCTTGATGATGAATATAGAAAATATACAAAAAGAGTTATCTATAAAAATATCTAATTCTGTGATCGGGAGAATTTGTGCTGCGCTGTTCGAATCCAACATCTTACATCAAACAGATGCTTCTCTATCCTTTAAAATTAAGACTTTTGTCATTTTACAAGAATAAAAACTATAAAATTTTTATAACAAAATCTGATAACTGATGGCACCACACATTTTTCTGTTTTGCTTCATAATATAAAAGCAATATATTATTTTAATAAGATATCGTAACAGCCGGAAAAGTTACTCAACTCGTGTCACTAGATTTTTTACATTTATGAACCGAAAAGGGAGTAAAATAAAAAAATTGAATTTTTTATAAGTTTACGATATATTAACGTTAGTCGACATTGCTTCATTTATTATTTTTCCTGGTAAAATCGATATTATTTTATTATCTCAACGACAATAATAATTGCAAAGTTTTACAATTAAATATCAGAAACTAAACAAAATATTCTTTCTACTGTATGTCTACTTATTTCTATAGTTTTGTAATGTAACGTATACTCTATACAACATAATTTTTGCAGAGGTTTTCGTTAAGTTACCGTAAAGTAGTCGCTTTATTAAATTAATATGTTCTATGAGAATTACAGTAAAACTTTCTTGTTTTTAAAGACAAAATTAATTGAAAATTTAATTTTCAATTTATTCTTAAATTTTAATTAAGTATGTAATTTTGAAAGAACAAATATAACTGGCTTATAAAATATCTTATCTAATATATTGCAATTTCTGGATCTTATTTTATGAAAATGTATTATTGTAAGTTTAGAACTAAACAATTCCTTTTTCGTTCCTTCCACTCTTCTCTGCATTTGAATTTTGTATTTAATTTTAAATATATGCTGTCTACCTCAAATTAGTAGTGTCTTGCCTTTGTACATCATACTTTTCCTTTAGCAATAGAGTCGTGCCGGTCATCGACGTAACACTTTTGGGGGAAATTTTTAAATTCAAATAACATCACTTCCGGTTTGCATGGGAAGTTCGTGTATATTACGTAGGAAACTTGTTATGAAATAAATTATTTCAAATATACCTTTTTAAAATGCATTTATTTTTACTATATTAAAATTATAAACTCTTGTTATGTACGCCACTTCCAAATCTATTATTAATATTTTTTCATTGTATACCTATAGAAGATTTAGCAAACTTTACAGCTTTTTCGACCCTGGTGAGTGATGAAGCCTGGCTTACCCTGGAGTTAGTCGCTCGGATTCGGTCCTGGATGACCCAAAATGCTGAATTTCTGCTTTCACCGAACATCCGATCGAATATAAAAACTAAAAAATTCTACTAGAAGCTTNAAGTTAATATTGTACAGACGATAATAATACTGTACAGACGATAGTAAACTCAACTTACCCGTTTAAACTCTGTGTAGCGTGTAAGGCCAGGAACACACATGCGTAAAATTCGGCGTAAAATCTAGAATAAAACAGAAAACGTAAAAATTTTTCTGAAATTTTGGCTGAAACAGAACTGAAAATAGAGTAGAGCATGTCTGTACTTTTTACGCCGAAAAATTTTACGCCAAAATTCCTCCAATAAAAAGAAGTCTTTCCTGTGACGTCAAAGTAGACACGTGGTTTTTATTTTAATAATGGCGGCAATGAGGGTTTATCCTACAATTGGGAGGGTCTGGAAAAATAGAGGAGTTTATTGAATTTCTTCGACCACATCAGTATCATGTATAAAGATACTGTATTTAAACATCATTTATGGATAGCTACTGGTGTTAAATTTCAAATAATAGGTAAGTCTAGTAGAATCGATATATAGGCGTAGTATTTAGATCACACGTTCCTTATTTGAATTCGGAATACAACTCTATTAATTTAAATTTTCTATATTATAGCAGAGGAAGTGGAGAAAAAATGGAAGGTACAAAGGAATAGATAGCCTCTATGAGAGGAAAAAATTAATAAAATTAGCACTGTTGGTGGCAGTGGTGTTTCCTATTCGGCCAGAATTTTTNTTCGGGATATATCATACAAAAGAAATATTTTTACTTTTTCAGTCGTACTGGTGACAATTTTGCATTACATTTTTTGTGTTTTTACTTTATCACAATCAGCCTCAAGAATTGTTTTATTATTAATCATACAAAAACAAGTGGAATATAAAAAAATTGCCCAAATAAAAAATCATGATAATTTTGGAGAATCTTAAAGTTTTTCTAATCTTGGAAGTTTTTCTTTGGTAAAGATAAGCTTGTCGCTTCGAAGCGAAATGTAAAAAAACATTAAAATAAATAAATTTTTGTAGGCATCGCTTGTAAGAATAAAATGAAATTTTATCCTAAAAGTTAAGCGATAAAAGTACAACAGCTGTATGGGAATATACTCTTGTAAAGTTTGACCTATCGATTTGAAAATTTCGCCAGCTCTTCATTAATTAATGACGAGAGAAGCTTAAGTTTAAAATTTGAGCTTTTTAGGCCAAGTAGTTTCTCTAGAAGTGTCTGCAATGCCGGATGAAGAAAAGAAGAAAAATAAACAAAATACAGCTGTTTTGGCGACATTTTTTCCATATTTTCGATTGTTTATAGTTTGAACCTGTTTATAGAAAAACCTACGATTTTGCACCACACTACCCAAAAACAAGTGGGAATTCTCATTCCTGTGATCATAATACGGTCAATCACTTGACGCAAAAACTAATATATCGGTTCATACTCTACATTTAATTACAATTACAATCTTATACAATTCTTCCAATGTAATTCTTTTACTCTGTGTTCATAGTATTTTTAATATTGCTTACGCCATTATTTACTCTAATACACTTCTCTCGATATAGGATAACATTGTCTCTTTACACTAGGCACTGTCACATATCACCACTAAAAAAAAGAAATACGGTATTGCTGCGCTGTGCTTTACTTCTCCCATTAAGCATTACCCGTAGCAAAAATATACAGGCAGTTTATACCCCGTTGCAACGTTCAACGATAAGGTTTCACAAAAGAAAATATTAATTTTAAAAATAAAAAAAATCGTTCCACAAATTCGTAGCTTGTACTATGTTGTTCATACGGTCACGTGTATGAGAATAATTGAAGTGTCCGCCTTAGTTTTGAAATTTCACAGTTCTTCTCTCGTGAAATATTTCAAATGGTCGATTTTAGATAAAATTGGGTATTATTAAAACTATAATAATTTAAAATGTATAGTAATGATATAAATGGATACGTATAAAAATATTTAATGATTAGGACAAAAGAGTAATCAAAATACTGCTTACTTTTTATTATCAGCAGAATCATTAATTTAGTTATTTCTCATTGTATATGTAATTAAATTCCAATATTTTTAATCTATGTAATAAAAGTTATCGCTATTAAAGAAATAAATGGACAATAAGAGTATTTTATCGTAGAACTTTTCTATACGTCAATTTGTACATAAAAAGAAAGTTTGTATTCATACTATCCAATCGAATTTATGTGTTTTTCTGCATTTTTTGTATATATACTGCATGAAAAATGTTTACATTATGAGAATTTCCCAGTTTGTCTGCTGTATACAATAGGTAAGTAGGTAATTTCTTACATGCGATTCAACTTTCAAACTTTTTCATAAAAATTCTTCATTACCTCTTTGGTAATAACTATATTAAAGATTTTAACAATAATTTCTTATCTTCAATCGCAAACTTTGGTAATCTAAATGTTGTCTTTTCTTTTTCTTCTCATACCTTTTCTCCTCTACACTTGTGGCTTTTTTTTACTTGTTTCTTCCTGCGCCCTTCTGGCTTTCAAGAATTCAGGCTCACAGTTCTTATCTTTCTAGTTCGAGAGAAGTGAGAATATTGCCAACTAATCGGAAATATTTTCAATAACGGTCATTACTAATCACTGCCAAAATGGAAGCAAAGTACAGTATTACTCTTTGTTACCAACAATCAATTATCCTTCTGTTGCTAACAAGAGTTTTTCATTCTTATCGAAAAAGCACATTCCGTATATTCACTTTAGAAACTCCAAACGTTTAACAGTTTCACTGAAAAACAAATAATTATTATTTTAAGTAAACATCTTTTTGTTGAAATTACTATTAGGCTTCAATTTTCAATTTGCAAACTAATACATTCGCACTGTCGTCAGCTTGTCCATCCATCCTTCGTTAATCTCGAGAACAGAGTTAAATACAGGAATATCAAAACCATACGGACAACTTATTTTAAAATTTTAAAATTAAACTACAATTAAAAAGTGCAGCCGGACATTGTCGTAATGTGGCAATAAGTAATTACTCGTTTTCTCTTATGTTCTAGTGAAATAAAGACGAATTATTCCAATCTGAAATTTTTTTATTTACCTTTAAAAGTCGATACTTAAATTTCATTTGAAAATATTTCTGAATATTTCTGAGTATTCTTCTTATTTTCTTAGCAAATAATAGAGTAAAATCTCTCTACGTTAATATACCAAACATAACTCTGAATCGCTGAAAAATCATCGTTTTGTCTTAAAAGTGTTTACATTCCTGTTGAATTTTTGCAAGTGTACTTCAGATACTAGCCACCATAATCAAATTTTTATATAGTGGTCCGAACAATGAAATTCGTCGAGCATCGAGGAAATACGACATGGCAATATATAAGCGATCTGCCAAGAATGGTTGCATCCAGGAAGAATTTTCTGATAAACTGGCATTCGTTTTGGTCTCAGACCGGTGACGAAAACCCAAATTCTTCAGCCGACCATTCGGCACGTCATACGTCAACCTAATACTAGTATTCAGTGGTTTTACCATTTGGTCATTGATGGGCTCGATCATTAGCGAAAATGCCTACATACATATTTCTTGAATATATTACCGTGATTCCACGTTTATGTGTACATGTGATTAGCAAGGTTACGGCCAAAGTTTTTACTTCTAAAACGTCGAGCGCCGCTATCTTGTAAGCGACACCCGACTTTCGACGTTTACGTTTTAGAAATGAAAATTTCGGCCGGAACTTCGCTAATAACGTTTAAGTATTAATGCTGTCAATGCTCATACATCCAATGGCATAAATTGTATTCGAATGCTACAATCACGCAATTCAGAAACACGAGTTGTAAGTACGTGCAGGCAGAGAAATGAAAGTAATTCTACCGAAAGTATACTTTAAATACTTCATGGATCGACCATTACGCTGTCTTTCATTTCTGGTGATTAAATTACTTCCAGATTTTGAATATGCGTACGTTTAAATGATTAATTAATTTACTGATTAACCTTCCAACACATTCAGCACTAAATATTTGAGTATTAATTTTTGTCTGTTAATCTACATTATTTGATTAAATTTAATTTGCACTCAACACAGCTTACAAAACACAATGAGTACAGTTAGATTATAGTGAGGTGTAAAGAGTCTTCAAAATGTCTAGAAATACATCAAAAGATTCCTGAAATTTAAATAATTATCATTTTTTTCTCAACGTCCGAATAATATCTAGTGAATTAAAAATTTCTAAAACTGTGCATTTAATTTACATAATCTAACAATATAAATTATTCCCCCGCGTGTAGGAAGGAAGAATTTGTGAAAGATAAAAACCGTTGGATTTCTTTTGGTTCTTCTTGTATTGAATGCGATGATTGGTGAGTAATCAGTCATCCCGTTTAACGATACATGAAATATTTCATAAAATTACCGTTTATATTTTAGAATTTAATGGAAATTTTAAACATTTTTTTCAGCGACTTTTTCAATGGTGGAAGCCACTCTATGTAAGTTGTGCGAAGGTAAAGGTATATGCACCTTGTATGGAAAATGCATGAATAATAAATGTGTATGCCCGGGTCGAAGTGATTCCTCACACGACTACGAAAATTAATGATCAGAAAATAAGAATGGTAATATAAATGTACGCAGAATTAAAAATTAAATATGTTTAAAGGCATAGTCTATGTTTGCTTTTTAAAGATGCTCGTAAGTCACAAGCTGTTAATTAAGGCAGCCAATGAAACGTTTAATATGAAACGAATTAAGTTGTCTTTCTTAGGCGCACCATATTTACTTCTTCACAATTTAATATTTATAGAAGAAATTGCGGTCGAACCGACATCTAAACGTGAACAATGCTGTGTAATTTATTCGTTGCCATAAAAATAGCGCATCGACAAGGAGTTGTATGACCTGATTTAATAAACATTTGCGAAAATTTAGACGAATAATCTCGAATTATTCTGTTTAATTAAAGTTCAGACTATAACGGTGCAAATTTCATATGGGATATTATGCGTATATAAACCATAGCGGGCTAATGTAATGCATTTATTAATTTAGATTCCATTGGACTTAGGCTTAACGAAAAGTGAAAATGAGTGGAAAGACCCCGTTCGTCGTCTCTGTCAAGGCCGATCAATTGTTACGGAAAGAGATTCGTCGGAAAATTATTGGCACTAGTTGTGATATTTGGCTTAAAAATGTTTAAAAATACGTAAAATTAGAAACATCGTAGTCTATACTTACCGATAAAATCGACGCAAAAGAAAAGAAACTGAGAAAAACATTCGAAACGAGAAAATTTTCATCGCACGAAATAAAAATCCAACCGTTCGCAATAACAATCAACCACCGCTCGCGACAATAAAACTTTGACAATTTGTTAGTACACAGAGTTTTATTGTTGCGTTGTCACGAAATTTAATATTAAGAGTTTGGCCGAATTGCGTGATTTCCGCGGACCTTTCCTTGCATATACAACTAATGTACAGTACATATATGCTTTACAGTTGATTCCTCAGACCGACCGAAGACACAAGTTCCAATCTCATTCACGATTCAAACATTTTCTAAATCTCAGAGATGTTTACTTTCCGAAGCTACAGATTATTAAGTTTCTACTAATATACGTTAATCAAATTTATCTATATCTATATCTATACTCTATACTACTATATAAAGTGTAGTGATGTGCAGGATCGTTAAAAATGTATATCCGCGGATACGGATACGGATCATTAGTGTCTAGATCCGCGGATACGGATACGGATCTCAACTTTCGTACTCAGTCGGCGCCGGTGCGTGTGACCTTGGACCGATAGTTGACGGTTTGCGTTAGTAACGCGACGTGTTTNAAAATTTTGACAGCACGAACTAAAAATTCAACCGTTCGCAATAACAATCAACGACCGCTCGCGACAATAAAACTCCGACAATTTGTTAGTACGCAGAGTTTTATTGTTGCGTTGTCACGAAAGTTAATATTAAGAGTTTGGCCAAATTGCGTGATTTCCGCAAACCTTTCCTTGCATATACAGCTACTGTACAGTACATATATGCTTTACAGTTGATTCCTCAGACCGACCGAAGACACAAGTTCTAATCTCATTCGCGATTCAAACATTTTCTAAATCTCAGAGATGTTTACTTTCCGAAGCTACAGATTATTCAGTTTCTACTAATATACGTTAATCAAATTTATTAAAATGTTAATTCTATAACAGAGGAGTTTCAAAATCTTGCTTAGCATTCCACTTTGAATTCTTTAATATACGATAGTACATTCTCTCATTCTTTTTCACGAATTTTTTATATGATTTAATATTTGTGGCACTTGCTTATTTTTGTGAAAATTCTTAAAACCGTTTTGGGCATTTCTTCATACCTGTAGAGGATTTAGCAAACTTTACAGCTTTTTCGACTCTGGTGAGTGATGAAGCCTGACGTATCCTGGAGTTAGTCGCTCGGATTCGGTCCTGGATGACCCAAAATGCTGGGTTTCTGCTTTCACCGAACATCCGATCGAATATAAAAACTAAAAAATTCTACTAAAAGCTTTTCTTACAATTTTGTAATGGACCTCTATTCGTGATCCTACGCATTTACAATCTGTTTTCAATGTTGAAAGTTATAATTTTGTACTCCGGCGTAAAAATCGATTTTTTGGAAATGAAATTGTCTTGTCTATTTACTTTAACATTTTTGTTTACTTTATGTTGATTAAATTTTCGTAGAATAACAATTTACTTTCGAATACTGTCGCTTATCAAGCATCGAAACATATTGGTAAAGGTAGAACTGGTTACAAGTCTTCGAGAGTAAAAACTCCTTTTAAAACAATTCGGTAAGTTACAACATATTATAAATGCGTTACTATATATAAATTATCTTTAAGAATAAAATAACAATTTTGATATAGAACTAAACATAATTTAACTTACACCAACTCTTTAGTGAAATTAATATTACTCTTAATATTTCTAAACACTTCGCAATGAGCATTTGTAATATTCTTAAGAAGGCGGGTAACGTGTCAGTCAACCGCTTTGAGGGACCAGGGATCGAATACCGCCATCAATTCCAGGAATATTTTTGCGGAAGGTTTCTTCCCGGTCCCTCGCCACCCGATTAGCTCATAGTACACCTGACAGAACACACGACGGATATAATTATAAACAGATCATTTCTTTAAAAGCGAAAACGAAATAATAATAAAAATTAATGAATAAATATAAATACTTCTAACAAGATGAAAGATCGTGAATTATTTTTAATTTATAAATAGCTAATTACAAAGGACGTGTAACAGAGCATTAGGCAAGAAAGTCTATGAATAATTGAAACGTTAAGCAAAACAATGCGTTTTTATTGGTATTATGGCTACCACACGCTACTTATAGGCACATCGTTTTAATACTTACAATTTTAAAATGAAAAATGAATACTTAAAAATTGATCAAAGAAACGTCAACACAATAAAATAAATAAATAAAAAAACGGTGCACGCTTAGTCCATCCTCAACCCACATTTTCCTTAAAGCAGTCAACAACTTTGATCATTCATAAATAAACACAGACTAAACTGAAAATAATGTTCAAGTGATATCACTATTATTATCGTAAACATTTTATGACTATTTTGCGTGCAATTATTGAGTCATTTCAACGCACATGAAAATAAATTAATAGTTATTAATTAATAATTAATATTTTACTTTAAGATACAAAATAATATTTGAGGGTCGAAGAAGTGTTTTCTAGGTAATCGCATCGCTTGTTTATTCACAAATTTCATTGCTTATAATTTAAATTTTACCAGAAATTTTTCTTTTCAGATTACGAAACTTGGCAGACAACAATATGAATTCCTTAATTCAATTGAACAGAATCAAGAAGTTTACAGACGAAGAAGAAATTCAACTTTCCACCTACGGAAACCGATGGAAATCATTGGCCATGTCCATGAAATTCCTTGGTTTGAAGTTAGAAAAGAGATTCACCCCACATATTATTTTCATGTTAATAGCAGCAAAAATATTTGCAATCTATTTCATCTACAAAAATATTATATTATTGACAAATTATTCTTCTTCGTTAGTTAATTGGATGATATTTGCATATTATCTTTTCCGTCTTTCCATAAATGTGTTCCTTCTGTATCACTTTCATCTGAATAAGAAAAAAATTATGTCGAAATTAAATGATTTGTATGAAGTTTCTGGTATAAGCAGAGAGATTTCCAACAAGTCCAGATCAATGTTAATTAAGGTCTGTATCATTTGGTTCAGCAGTATCGTTACCAATATCGTGAATTACCTCATTATCACTAAGAAGAAATTTAAGTTTAATAGCACTAAACAGATTTTTCACACAAACTTCGATGATTATAGAGGGGATATCATTGAATTTCTACCACATTTCGTTTCCAGCGTTACTATTACTCTTCAGTTCTATTTTTTACTACTTTTTTTCTGTTCCATATGCAAAGATTTTGAGTATTCTTTCCTGTTAGTTCGTAAAAAACTGGTTGATAATTGCAATCCGAAAGAAATCAAAGCAGCATCATTTAAATATATGCAAATATCGGGCATAATAAATGATATAGAAAATATTTACTCTCCCGTGTTATTTCTGTGGTCGACTTTGATCGTTGGAAATGTCATATTTAGCATTGGTCATCATTTACAGAACGTTATGTCTTTTACCTTGTCCGACATGATAATATTATTCTATTTTTATGGTGTTCAATTTTTATTGTTTTCTGATATTTGTTTCTCTTCGTCGAATATGAACAGAGAGGCCAAAACGTTCGCAATGTCTCTTTACAAGTCCTCACTTTCTATCGACGATCCAGCCATTCAGCAATTTGCCTTTCGATTTTCTGTAGAGATTTTGCAAGATTTGCCTAATTTTTCTGCTTGGAATATGTTTTACATCGATAATAATCTCACAATGACAATTTTTAGTGCCGTTGTCACTTACAGTCTCATTATGTATCAATTCTCAAAAAAGGAATAATGAAAAGGACTCACATAATCAAGGACGATCCTCACCGTTCATCTTTGCCAAGAAAATACTGTATTCAAACGAAAAAAACATGCTTATTTGTTATCACAATTTATTGCACATATATGTAATTTCGAACGTTAAAAAATGACCCACGAAGTAAATAAATCAATCGAAATTCACTAATCATTATAAAAGTTTTGGAGAATATATTGTATTATTTTG